ATCACAGGATATGGTCGAGTCTCCGTAAATCTAAGGGAAAATGTAACTATTATAGTTTTCATGATAAATGGAAATATTCTACCATCACAAGTTATAATGAATATTTCATAATCCTATGAAAGAGGCACGACTTCTACTGTAAATACAATAAAATTCTATAAATTAATAACGTTGAGACTATGGTATTTTATTAATTTATAGAGATATTAAATTTACAAAAAAAAAAACTTTTTTAGATTTTTTTATTTTAATAAAATAGATTTTTCTAAAAAAAATTAATTTAATTTTAGTGTATATACATAAATTCATTTTTCACATTCATTATTCTTTTTGAGTTTAATCTACTTTTGGGCATATATAGAATATCTTTCAATATATTTAAATATTTTTTAAATATAATTTTACAAAATCACATCAAAATATTTTAAATGTTAGGAAAATATAAAGATAATCATATTATGAATATAATGGTTTGTTTGTACTACATTAAATGTATATACAACTAAATTATTAATCTATAATTTTAATGGGACCATATATTTACATAGGATTTTCCAAAATTTTATTATCTTATCAATTTGTGTCATATTTTGAACCGGTCCAACATGTAACCCGAAAAAATATTAATTTTATGGTGTTTATTAACTTATAGAGTTTATACTGCATGAGGTTTCACACCTAAAAGAAAGGAGGTCAATTCTTCCATCCAAAGAAGACATCAATTCGACAGCCACCAAGGCACAAATTTACCCAGAAAATTATCTTTATCGACATAGTCTTATGATAGGCATATCTACGTGGTTACTACCAATCATACCAAGGTATATGATCATTGTAGCATGTCAAGAAGCCTATTTACTGGCTCAGGCCCCGATCTTCGATCAATAGGTAGGAACACACCATGTTCGTGAAGCATATCGACTAGTCTACCATCTGGAATGGCCATGTGCCCTCTAGACCAGATGACTCCTATCAACTACAAATACTTGTGCTCACAAGGACATGTGTCAACAAGAGTATGCACCCACCTAGGCTATGTACCGCTAGTAATGTAAACTACAAATGACTTGATCCCTCACTGAAATACGTAGGCAATCTTCACTGAAGAATACATTTATAAATCCAAACACCCTCAATGGTGAGACGCCTAAACACCCAGATGACCACTTGGTAGCAGGAATCATCACCTAGAGCAGGAAGACCACGAACCATACAATCCATCTCTCTTGATAATATCACGGCAACTAATGATGCATATTGGCCCATACTTATATGGTAGTAGACTAAAGACAAGGTCTCCCAGTTTATCAACAACTAGAGCAGGAGAAAGCAACAACGGTTATCACTTCTTCCTAACATTCCGTAGAGTTGAGAACGAATCACAAGTACCAAAATTACTTATAATATTTATTGATTTAATAACATTGTTCTATGACTTATTAGGTGTTTTTAATGTAATATTAGCTTTGACCAAGTTAATTAAGAGTCTAAGTGATTTCATGTCCGAAAGGTGTTTAATTAAATGCTTGAACCAATCTAATATTGTGTTTAACATGTTTGGTCAATGGGAATTGATGTTAGAGATGGTAAATAGTTAGTAGACTTCTGATTTATGCATGTTAGATTGTGTTTGCCTGATGAAAATTGATGTTTATGGATGATTAGTGTATAGATTATTGTCACGTAAATGAATTAGTCTAACTGAATCAAATTTAGCCCTATATAAATTGTTAATTGCTTGGTTTAACCATCATATATTGAATCATGATCACCTTATATTGATTACTTTTGCTCATGGAATCATTTTTATCAATTAATTGAAAGTTTAATTATTTTTCTTGCGTTTTTTTTAAGTTGAGACCATCTTTGTTTAATCTTGTTAGGATTTTAGTTTAGTTACTAAACACCACTCATATTTTCTTAGATTGAGACATTGTTTACATTTTCATTGCTTGAAATCATCTAGATTTGACTGACACATTCTTGCTACAACAATATTTTGCTTGCAGATAAGTGTTAAAAGGAGTTTACACATCACTTTTACATCAAACTTACACATAATATTTGCTATGATATCCTCTGAAAGAGATAGTTCGTAGACTCCACAACTTCTTCTTTATCAAAACAAATTATCAATTTCAGTTTCATTTCTGGTTATAAGAATATGAGTATGCGTGCATCAACTCAGTTTTCAAAAGCAACCAGGTTGTGTCGAATCATTAGCTATGTGACTGGGTCGATTAGAAAATCCCAATTAAATAAAATAAACACAACTCGCATGTTGAAAAAAAACATCATTCGCGTTGTGATATACCATGATTTTGACCCACTTTTAGTCATGGTATATTGGTGTTTTTATAATTATTTATTATATTATAGAAGCTTTTAAGCATATTTATAGGTTCAAGAGTATTTTGGAAGAAGGTGATGTTTTTGGAACATTTTAGAGAGAATTAGAGAAATCACTCGATTTGGAATCGACCAAGTCAGTAAGGTCGACACGGAGTAACTCACGTTGATCGATATTCACACTGCATCAACGATCGACGCCGAAGGCGCGGAAGACCAATTCGCGAGACAGCCGATTTGAAGTCTAAGACTTCACAAAATTACCATTATACCTCTGACAAGTTTTAACCTAAGTTTATATACTCTACCAAAGTGTTAAAGGCAGAGAAAGTTTTTTGTATTCTTTTCACTGCAAAAGGTTTTAGGTTTTATAGTTTAGGAGGAAAGATCAGCAGAGAGATTTGTGATTGGAACTCTATTGATTTCTATCTATCTATAATTATGCAGTTTATTATCTTGTTTATGTTATGATTTGCGTAGCCATGTCTGAATAATTCACATGTTAGAATTAGGGTTTAAATAGGTTAGTGGGATTAGCCCCAACTATAGGATCGTTTGTTGTGGTATTCATTAATAGGATGTTCTTAATGCTTATGTTCTAGACTTGCTAACTAGAAACCTGAATCTAGGAATTCTAGATTTTTTAAGCATCTTTAGGCAACTCTGATTATCCTAAATACATCATGTTAAGAATTTTACTAGAGAGAAGGAGAACGCTTGATCAAGGTTGTCCATAGTGAGTATAGATTAACTCACGTATAAAGCTTGACTAGTCGCATTGATCAATATTCCCATTGGAAATCGATCGATGTCAAGTAAAGTGTATCGATCGATATTCCTATAGAATAATCGATCGACACTGTTATTGATCGGACATTATCGTTAGGGTCAATAACATTCTAGTCAACACACTTATTTATTAAGCGAAAGTTTAGTAAATGAGTTATTAAGGTAGTTAAGTTCTTTAATACCATGCAAACAACTAATTAGCACCTATAGGATTATAATCTCAAACACCTAAATAAAAGCCCTAAGTCTAACACCTTTCTAATTAATTTCAAACCCCTCATTCTATTTTGTCGAGTAATTGGCTTGCTCAACTAGAATATTTACTATTTCTTGTTTACTACCACTTTACTTTTAATATTCACCTAGTTTTATTATATTGATTAGATTTAAGTGGTTCCTTAGCTTCTTGTGGATTCGATCCCTAAGTATTACAATAGATCTCTTATTTGAGAGAGTAAGTGCTTCTTAGGTTAATTTGAGCACGTATCAAATTTGGTGTCGTTGCCGGGGAGCTTTGATAGTCATTAGATTTAGTATAATAATTTTAGGTTTTTCTTTATCATCTTTTGATACAAATTTTTTTTTTTTGATTTTTCAGGTACATGCACAGCATTATCATAAGAAACAAGGAAAAACAACTGCTATTTTCAGAAGACCCAGCAAGCTTGGAACGTTCAATTCGAAAAGACCTACGGTCCACATCGATCGATAGCAACACTTGTGTATCGACCGATTCTCATCAGACGCCAACCGACCTCGCTCTTACATCGATAGACACCAACAAACTCTTCGTCGACCGATTCTCATCACTCGACATCAATCGATACCATACTTCGTACATCGATCGATACTCAGCCGCGAGACATGGTTGCGACTCTGATACTAACTGCAAACGAGAATGGAGACCTGTATGACCAGGACAGTCATCTATGTAATGCTACAGGTCAGAAACTAGATACTCAGGGGAATGTGATCCCTGAAACTGATACTGATGAGGCCACTCGAACCAAGACCTTGGCAGACTACAACCGTCCAGACCTGTACCATGTAAACTGGTCAGCTATTCGTCTTCCAGATGTCCAGAGGGAAAATTTTGAGTTGAGGCCCCACTACTACACACTTGTGGCACAGATACCCTATTGTGGGTTACCACATGAGCATCCTATGGACCATCTTGAGAGGTTTGAGGATCTTATTGCTGCTATTATAGTTAAGGGAGTCCTTGAGGATTACCTACTTTGCAAGCTCTTCAAGTACTCACTTGCTGGAGATGTTCCTTTTGGGATACATTGGAACCAAGTTTATTTTCAGCATAATAAGATTCAAGTCGCTTGTTTCGAATACAGAGTACTAAGTAAATAGATACACATTTTGACAAATAAAAGTGTTTATGAATTTTTCAGTTCATTTTTTTAATAAATTCTATCGGTTGATTCGGTCAGCTCCGAAAATAATACATTTAATGATATAAAATGGACTAGATCAAAAGCATATTATACTGTCTAATCCAAATTTGAAATACTTTCCAAGTCAAAAGGTACATCGATTGTCTATTATGATTCACTTTATAAATTAACTGGATCAAAACCAATTTCAAAATAGTCAAATACTGATAATTTAGTTTCTAGGAGTTTCGGTTCATTTTTCAACTTAAGAAATATACTAATTATGGAGGGCTGCTAACATCACTTTTTATTGTTTAAATCTCTCACTTTATAAACTTGAAAGCACAGAAGAAAACAAAAAAAAAAGATTATAAGGAAAAGCTGAATACCGACAGTTACGCGATTACGATAGCAAATATCTATCTCCATCATATTTATACTCATGTCGTGAATAATAAGTCAACTATATATGATATATTATACGGGCAATTTAGTATTGTTATCATTTATTACTATATTGTCTTCGTTTTCGATCATTTGACAAGACTTGGAAGTGGTTAAATTCTCACTTCTTTTCCCCCAAAGAAACACGTTGAGGCCCGTTATAGTCACTACTGATCCAATTATGCTGCAATTTTTTTATACCATAAACATATCAGTATAAATGCATGGTCTTATATAGTGTATATGATATGAAATTAATATAATTTTAGCATAACAACAACCTGCCGAGGTATAAAGAAGACTGTAAGATGACAAAATCGAATAAAGTAGCAGAGACGAGGCTAACGGGGCTAAATGTTGACACGAAGACTGCTCCTGTCAATTTTATCGACCATGACGTTACCACTGTCGACATCGCTTGTCCCACTATTCCCTGTTTTTTTCCCATCCATATATCAAATAATACTATGATCAATCATTTTATTATCATCTGGACTGATGAAAAAAGATCGAAAAAGTACTCTGACGACACTTTAAAAAAAATCAAATAAAGATACTAAATTTTCAATTGTGTGTGTTATGAAAAAAAAAATATTACTAACTTCTTACACACCTTAAAGTGCATAATTATTTTAACAAAACTTTAATTTTATAAAAATATTTTTTTTTTTTGCTTATGTTTTTGAGTCAATTTTATTTTTGATTTTTCTTAATAAATATGATAATTTTGTTTGGAGTAAAACTAATTTTTGTCTAAAAAAATATAATATGCTTAGTTTATTAATTTTATAATCCAATAAAATAATTCGTGCTAACTTATACTGTATTCATATAAGTATTTTTCATGACGTGAAATGCACAATCCTAAATAGATTTTAGTATTTAACTTTCAAGTTAGATATATATATATATATATATATATGTATTAATGTAATTTTGATATTAAATTTTTTAATTTCTATTTTCTAAACTAAAATTTACTAATATTAATTCTTTATCTGCGTTTGTAATACTTTTAAAACTAATTTATTGCAAAACATTAATATCATATTTTATGTACATACTCCAAAAACATAATTAATGCATTGACTTATTAAATTATATTTACTCTAGTTATATAATTAAACAATACTTATACAGTATTTTTATATACAGAGCCGTGCCTGTAAATTAATGGGCTCCAAGCAAAAGTATTTAAAGACAAAAGTCAATATGTTAAATAACATTAAAAAATGGCTAAGAAGAATGTTTGAACTCATGACAATATGATATAGAAAGATCAATATAGAGCAAGGGACTATAGTAGAATTTTGAAGAAAAATTGGCCGCTAAAATACTTAACATAAAAAAAGGCTCCAAGTACATGTTTGATTTATGCTTTTCTTATATATGCAAAGCTTTTCTTATTGTCATCTAAGCTTAATAGAAAATTAATGTATAATTAGATTCTAACAATATTTACATATTAAAATATTGTAAAAATACATAAATATATTTATAAAAACAGTTAAAATAAATATATATTTATAATCAAATTAAAATATATGAAAGATATTAATAATTAGTAAAAATAATTAATTAAAATTGATTTGACCTTATTACTTTTAGTAAAATTCTAAAAGATGAAATATTTCCAATATGACACATTTTCTACTTAACACGTGAGATAAAACTTAATTCCATAAGGTTTTTTTTTTTGGTATAATATATGTTTTAAAATCTCTGTTTTTTACCTATAATATTTTTACTATTAAAAATTCAAAGTAAAACCAATAAATAAAAATTCACCTATATTATAATATGTATAACATTTACAATTTTATATTCATATGCCAAAATATTTAATTAGGAAAAAAGTATAGAATGTCGGTGGAAATATTTTGTATGTATAATACAAAATCAACGAGAACTATAAACGAAAGTTTTGTAAGAAAGCAGAGATCATTACTAGGATTGAGTTATTATGAGAAAACAAAAAGAGAAGAATAAGAAGTTTTCTTTACTTATTTTCAAAAAAAAAAAGTTTTCTTTACTACTTTGAATCTCAATTATCACCTTTATCTCAGTTACAACCAAAAAATAATAATAATAATTATCACCTTTATTTATTGTGACCTTATAATTTTTCGTAAGGATCCTCGTAATAATCTCAACTGCCAATCTCACGGGTACATCTTGTTGTTGCGAAAGCGATGGAGGATGAAGACACGATGGAAGCTGATCCTAAAAAGAAGTCTGTCATACCGCGCACAAGAAGACTAACCAGCACGATTACTTCTCCTCATATGGAGGACAATGTGACGTTTCATCCAAGAAGTGCGGTTCGCTCTTTGTCTTTTACAAATGAGAAGGATGGCGATGATGCAGGAATGATTGAGGCTCTGACTGACATGGAGACCTTACCTAATAATGAAGATGAAAAAATGGCTGAGGAAGATGATCTTTTTGATGAGGAGCTTATGGAGCTGGATGATAAGGTGTCAGGGAACTTTCCACGGGAAAACATAAGTTCTAGGGACACAAGGAGTTCGAAGGGGATGAGGAATGGTAACAGGCGTACTCCTAAGAAGAAAGAGGTTCTCCGTCGGGAATCTCCACGTTTGAGGTCTCTGAACTCCCAGAGGCATACAGGGGAGAGAAGCAAGCAATATCATTCATGCCTTCATGCTAGAATGGATCGATCTAAAGCAAGAAAACCAAGTGGTTCGATGGGGTCCAAAAACCCATCCCACATTCATCCATGAAGACAATCAGTTGGAACTGTCGAGGGATTGGAAACGACCTTACAGTTCGACGCCTTAAGGAGATGTCTCAGAAGCATCGCCCAGGACTAGTGTTTCTTTCTGAGACGAAGAATAGAAGGCTGCTGTTGCAAGACATTCAGGCCGACTTGGGATTTGATCGTTTGTTTACTGTTGAGCCACTTGGCCTCAGCGGAGGTTTAGCTTTGTTTTTTATGGATGATTTTCAAGTTAAGATTTTATTTTCAAATAACAGAATGATTGACATTGAGGCAATCATTGATGGAATAAAAGTTTACATGACGTTTGTGTATGGAGACCCTGTCTTAGAACGTAGAGAGATGGTTTGGGAACGTCTTACGCGGTTCTTAACGACACGAAATGGACCATGGTTCATGATTGGCGATTTTAATGAAATTACATGTCACGAAGAGAAGGAAGGAGGTAGAGACCGAACAGACAGTTCTTTTTTGCCGTTCAGGCAAATGCTCAGTGACTGTGGAATGCTTGACTTCCCCTTTACAGGGAACATGTTATCGTGGGCTGGTAAAAGAGCAGGGAGAGTTACAGTAAGATGCCGCCTGGACAGAGCTGTTGGTAATGAGGACTGGCATGACAAATTTCCTCATTCGAAGGTCCAGTATATGAGGATGTGGGGGTCGGATCATCGTCCGATCTTAGCTGACATTCTTAAAAAACGCCCACGGAGATCAAGAAACTTTAAATTTGATAAGCGTTGGTTGGATAATGAGGAACTTAGACAAGTAATCCTGGAGGGGTGGAAATCTCCGGATCTCCCACCAGATGCTAGTATTATGGAACACATTGCAAGTTGTAGACGTGCGTTGAGCGAATGGAAGAGACAACACAACTTAAATTCTGAAAAGAGTGTGGAGGAGTTAAAGGAGAAGGTAGATCAATTATCCTCAAACGATGATGCAACTACTGAAGAGATTGCTGCGGCTTTAAAGGAACTATCTGATGCTCTTAAGGCAGAAGAGATGTTCTGGAAGCAGAAGTGTCGAGTGTTTTGGTTACGCGAAGGAGACAGGAATACCAAATTTTTTCATGCCCTCACAAAGCAGAGAAGGACAAGAAACAGAATTACACAGCTTTTGGATGAGGATGGAAATGTGGTACAGGATGAGGAAGGACTTGTAGCCATCGCTACAAATTATTTTAGACAACTATTTCAATCCTCAAATCCTGAGGAGATAGAGGAAGCATTATCTGAGGTCTCTTCAACCATTACACCTGCAGACAATGCAAATCTCACAGCACCGATAACTGCATGGGAGATCAAGGTCGCGCTTTTTGCAATGCATCCAGAGAAGGCTCCAGGGCCTGATGGAATGACTGCGCTTTGTTATCAAAAAATTTGGGACATTGTAAAAGACGATTTAACTCTTATGGTTAATCAATTCTTGTTTGAAGGTACGATTCCCAACGGTTTAAATGAGACTAATATATGCCTAATTCCGAAGGTGGATAAACCGGATCAGATGAGCCAGCTACGCCCCATAAGTTTGTGCAACGTTAGTTATAAGATAATCTCAAAGGTCTTATGCCAGAGGTTAAAAAAGGTTCTTCCTAACAGAATTTCGGAAACCCAGTCGGCCTTTGTTGCTGGGAGACAGATATCTGACAACATAATGATAGTCCAGGAATTGTTCCATGCCTTAAGAACAAAACCGAGTGGACGTAATAAGAGGATGGCCATCAAAACAGACATGAGCAAGGCATATGATCGGATGGAATGGTCCTTCATCGAAGCCACCATGAGGAAGATGGGCTTCTCTGAAGTATGGATACCTGGATTATGCGATGTGTAACATCAGTTAAGTACAAGGTACTTATGAATGGTCAACCAAGAGGGAATATTGTTCCGGAGAGAGGTCAACGCCAGGGAGATCCTTTGTCCCCTTTCATTTTTATTCTATGCACGGAAGCGCTCGTTAGCCTTCTTAATCACGCTGAGAATCAGGGAAAGATAACGGGGATGCGCATCACGCGTGCGTGTCCATCGATATCCCACCTACTCTTTGCTGATGATAGCCTGTTCTTTTGTAAGGCGGAGCCCCGTGAATGTGAAGAAGTAATGAAAGCGGTTAGGAAGTATGGACAAGCATCTGGACAATGCATTAATTTTGACAAATCCTCTTTACTCTTTGGTAAGCGGATTGGTCAAGAGGCCAGACAGGAGATCAAAGATACACTTGGTATCCAAAGTGAAGCAGGAATGGGAACTTATTTAGGGATACCAGAGGATATCAGTGGCTCGAAATGCAAGTTGTTTGCATTCTTAAAAGACAAGCTTCGGCATAGAGTGAATGGATGGACAGGCAGGTGGTTATCTAGAGGTGGTAAGGAAGTAATGATAAAGTCTATCCTGTTAGATCTCCCAACCTATGTTATGTCTTGCTTTCTGCTTCCATTGGAGATATGTGATGCCTTGGCTAGTGCCATTGCACAATTTTGATGGAGCTCAAACCCGCCAAAGAGAGGCTTACACTGGACAACATGGGATAAGTTATGTTTACCTAAAGAGGAAGGAGGAATTGGCTTCAGAATGATCCACGAATTCAATCTGGCGCTTTTAGCTAAGCAGCTGTGGAGATTGGCTCAAAATCCAGATTCTTTGGTAGCTCGTGTTATGAGAGGGCGGTATTATCGACTTAGCTCGCCGTTGCGAAAGCTCACTATCAACAGCCCATCATATGTGTGGACAAGTATTTCGGCGGCACGAGATTTATTATTATTGGGGGTTCGACCTAAAATCCATTCAGGCTATGATGTTAAGGTATGGGAGGACCCATGGGTTCCAACATGCCCAGCGAGACCAGCAAATGCATCTGCTCCGGTTCTAAATCTGAATATGAGGGTGAGTGATCTCATCAATCAAGAGTCAAAGTCTTGGGATCTGGATCGGCTGGCACATTATGTCGACGCTACTGATATACCTCTCATACGGAGTATGGCAGTTAGTTCATCCCATCGTAAATACACACACTGCTGGAGTTATACAAGAAGTGGGCAGTACACAGTTAAGTCCGGTTATTGGGTAGCTCGGAATATTCTAACGAAGAAGGAGGAGAATCTGGTTAATGAACCCAGTGTCAAAGGGCTTCAAGCGCAAGTCTGGAAAGTTAAAGCTCCCCCGAAGATGTGCCATCTTATGTGGCAGATGATATCGGGACAAGTGGCTGTTACGAGTGCGCTGAATCATAGACACATGAGGTGCGACAATTTTTGCCCACGATGCGGAGAACCGGATGAAACAATTGCACATGCAATTTTCCAATGCCCACCGGCTTTACAAGTATGGGCCTTAGCATCTATACCCACAAGCCCAACTTTGTTCCCATTGGAGAGCACTTATGCGAACATGGACTATCTATTCTGGCGGAAGAAGACCATTTGTGGCCCAGAGTTAGACAGGGATCCTTATCCTTGGTTAATATGGTACATTTGGAAGGCTCGGAATGATAAATTATTCAGAGGAATAGATAGAGATCCACTTGAGTTGGCTCGGTATGCTGAGAGTGAGTGTCTTGCGTGGTTCCAAGCTAATGAGAAGGAAGTGGTGACCACACAAGAGGAGGATGACACTGAAAGTCAGGCCATAAGCCTACGTGATATTTGCATGATAGATGGTTCCTGGACCTCTATAATTCTCCGGGTGTGGTTGGGATTGGAAGGACAGTATGGGGAATACTCAGTTGATGGGGATGCGTAATATGAGTAGAGTGGAGTCGGCTTTGCATTCTGAGCTGGAAGCACTGCGGTGGGCAATGGAGAACATGCTTCAACATTCGCTATGTCAGAGCTTTGGGACGGACTGCAAGGAATTGTTAGCATTGCTCAATAATCCTCATGAATGGCCAAACTTCTCGACGGAACTGGAGAGGATCTCGACGTTGAGGATTTGCTTCCCAAATTTCAAGATTTCTTATGTCCCTACATCTCTCAATGTTGTTTCCGATCATTTAGCTAAGACTGCTCGATCTTTCTATCAGGATCTTTTGTTTGTTGGTTGTTCTATTCTGGTCTGGATTCCCAGACCACCTCAAGCTTGAGTAATAGATCATCCTTTCGTTGTCAAAAAAAAAAAAAAAAAAAAAAAAAAAAT